GAGCAGCAAGGATGGGGAAGGGCTTGGAACACAAACCCTGTGAGGAACGGCTGAGGGAGCTGGGGGTGTTCAGCCTGGAGAAAAGGAGACTCAGGAGTGACCTCATCGCTCTCCACAACTCCCTGAAAGGGGCTGTGGGCAGGGAGGTCGGGCTCTTTCTCCAGGCAGAGCTGGCAGAACGAGGGGACACAGCCTTGAGCTGCACCAAGGAAATATGGGCTGGAGATCAGGAAAAAGTTCTTTACAGAAAGAGTGATAAAGCACTAGAATGGTCTGCCCGGGGAGGGGGTGGAGTCACCATCCCTGGATGTGTTTAACAAAGATTGGATGTGGGGCTGGGTGCTGTGGGTGAGTTGAGGTGTTGGGCATGGGTTGGACTGGAAGATCTTGAAGGTCTCATCCAACTCTGGTGATTCTGTGATTGTGTGATTGGTGATTGGGTGATTCTGGGATTCTGGGATTTGATAATTCTGTGACTGTGTGACTCTGTGATTCTGTGATTCCATGATTTCTGTGTGATCCTGTGATCCTGTGATCCTGTGATTCTGTGATTGATTCCATAATTCTGTGATTCCCTGATTCTGTGATTGATTCTGTGATTCCGTGATTCTGTGGTTGAATCCATGATCCTGTGACTCTGTAATTCTGTGATTCTGTGATTCTATGATTGATTCTGTGATTCTATGATTTCTGTGTGATTCTGTGATTCTGTGGTTGATTCCATGATTTTGTGACTCTGATCCTGTGATTCTGTGACTGATCCTTTGATTCTGTGATGCCATGATTCTGTGATTGATCCTGTGATTCCATGATTCTGTGATTGATCCTGTGATCCTGTGACTCTGTGATTCCACAATCCCATCGCCCTTTTTCCTGCTCAGGCCTACGAGAGGGAGATGCCTCCCCGGGTTCTGGTGAACAGCGCCGGCTACAAGATCCTCACCTCGGTGGAGCAGTACCTGGAGCTGGTCAACAACAGCCTGCCTGGTGAGGGACCTGTGCTGGGGACCTTTGGGTGGGCTTGGGGGNGGAGCTTCAGAAGAGCTGATTTCGGGGTGTAGGAGAACCCCATGAGGTCCATGAGGACCCTTTGGAAAGGGTGAATTTGGGGTGCAGCATCCTTGAGGACTTTTTGGAAGGGATGAGTTCGAGTTTGGAAAGGGTGAGTTTGGATGAGTAGATTCCTTGAAGAACTTCTGGAAGGGGTTCTTTGGGTGTGTAGCATCCCTGGGATGTTCGGGACAGGGTAGATTTGGGGTGTAGCATCCTTGAAGAGCTTCTGGAAGGGGTAGGTTTGGGGTGTAGCATCCATCTCTAGGACCGTCTACAAAAGGTGATTTTGGGGTGTATCCCTGAGGACCTTCTGGTAAAGGTCATTTTGAGGACCTTCTGGAAAAAGTGGGTTTGGGACATAGCAGATCTGAAGATCTTCAGGATGGGGTGGTTTTGGGGTGTAGCATCCTTGAAGAGCTTCGGGAAGGGGTAATTTTGGGGTGTAACATCCATGGAGCTTCTAGAAAGAGTGGGTTTAGAGTGTAGCACCCTTGAAGAACTTCTAGATAGGACAGTTTTAGGATATAGCATCCATGGGGACCTTCAGGAAGGAATGGTTTTAGGGCGTACAATCCCTGGGACCTTCTGGAAAAGGTGATTTGGGGGTTTGTATCCTTGAGGAATTTCTGGAAATAGTAATTTTGGGGTTTGTATCCCTAACCACCTTCTGAAAAAAGTTTTAGAGCATAGCACCCCTGATGATCTTGAGGATGGGGCGATTTTGGGGTGCATCCATAGTACCCTTTTGGTAGGGGTAACTTTGGGGTGTAGCATCCTTGAAGATCTTCAGGAAGAAGTGGCTTTAGGGTACAGCATCTTTGAGAAACTTCTGGATGGGATCGTTTTGGGACATAGCATCCATGGAGACCTTCTGGAGAGGAAGATTTTAGAGAGTAGAATCCCTGAGGGCCCTCTGGAAAAGGTGGATTTGGGTTGTAGATCTTCAGGAAGGAATGCTTTGAGGGTGTGGCATCCCTGGGACCTTCTGGAAAAAGTGGGGCAGAGGATCCCTGAAAATCTTCAGGATGGAGTGGTTTTGGGGTGTGGCATCCCCAGGGACCTTTGGGAAGAGTTGTTTTAGGGTGTAGCATCCCTGGGACCCTCAGGAAGGGGTGGTTTTAGAGTGTATCATCCTCAGGAACCTTTAGGAAGAGGTTGTTTTAGGGTATAGCATCCCTGGGATCTTCAGGAAGGGCTTGTTTTGGGATGTGGCGTCCTTGAAGACATGCAGGAAGGGTTTTTATTGGGCTGTAAGATCCCTGAGCACCTTTGGAAAGGGTAATTTTGGGTTATGGGGATGTAGGGGAGGGTATGGGGTCCCCACAGTGGGGTTTGGGGTCTCTGCTGCTCAGGTCCTGCCACAGCCTCCAGGGACAGAGGGAAAATGTGTCCGTGGCTCTGTGAGAACCATGCGATTCTTTGTTATTTTAATTTTCAATTTCATTCTGATTCCCTTTTCAGAAAAATTAGGGTCTTTTTGAGTTTTTTTTGGGAGAACTCCCAACCCAAGGAGCTGAGGGCTGTGTGTATCCCTGCTGGCCACCCCAAACCCCACACCTTCCCCATCCCTGATTCCCTTTTCAGAAAAATGAGTCTCTTTTGAGGTTTTCTGGGTTTTTTTTGAGGGGGACAACTCCCCACTGGCCACCCCAAACCCCACACCTTCCCCATCCCTATCCATCCCCATCTCCTCTTTAAACCACCCCCTCTTTCCCGCAGGTGTGACCCCCAAATCGGGGCAGTCTCCCATCCTGAAGTGCCCCACGGATTTCCCGCTGATCCTGTGGCACCCCTATGCCCGGCACTATTATTTCTGTGTGATGACGGGCAAGGAGCAGGACAAGTGGMGGGCGGTGTTCCAGGACTGCGTGAGGCACTGC